TAAACGGCAGTTTAGGTCAGCCATGTTGCTGTGTGAATGTCACTGCCGTCTTGGCATCTGAAGAAGCCCGATGCCAACCCGAGTTCTTCGTTATGCTCGTTGTTTCTAAAAGCTATGTTTTTGCAAGGTGAGAAGTGAAAGACTGGAGACGATAGTGGATTCCCCGGGGATAACGGGCGGACTTTGCGCGATTCATGTAAGAGCACTAGCCCTGAGTATGGTACACTCGAAGGCTTCAACAATCGGACGGTTTGCTAACCAAGAATGAACAGCTCTGTGGGGAAAGAAGTTTGGAACTTGAAGATGTGTATCTTGTGGGGGCTTGGAGGCTTCGTCTCAATACTGCTTCCATCTGGTCGCACCTATAAAGACGGTTCGTAGTCGAACTTTTACCTTGGATTCCTCATCATCATCATCATCAACAGCAATAAGAAGAATCTCATTTTTTCTCCAGCACCCTCATCGACGAATTTCCTAAACCTCGCACAAATCAGTCGAAACTTCAAATATGTCCCGCTACGCTGAAGCCCATGCCGATCCCCAGGGAACGGGCGACGCCCGCCCAACAGCCTTGCAAATCATCAAAGACGAAGGACTGGAACGCAAGCTCGGCGGGAAAGTCTTCGTCATCACGGGAACTTCATCAGGAATCGGCATCGAGACTGTCCGCGCCATCGCGGCCACCGGCGCAAAGCTGTTCCTGACTGCAAGGAACGTAGCCAAGGCGAAGACCGCCCTCGCCGACATCCTTGACCCGTCTCGCATGGAAATCGTTCAGATGGATCAAGGATCTCTGGACTCCGTCCGCGCTGCCGCTGCAGCCATCCTCTCCAAGACCGACAAGGTCAACGTCCTCATCAACAACGCCGGCATCGCGGCCGTTCAAGCTCTCGAGTTCACCAAGGACGGCCACGAGATGCAATTCGGCACCAACCACCTCTCCCACTTCCTCTTTTTCCAGCTCTTGAAGCCGGCTCTTTTGGCGGCATCGACCCCGGAGTTCCCCTCTCGCGTCGTCAACGTTGCTTCCGCCGGCCACAGGTTCAAGGGCATCAACGCGTCTGACAACTACAACTTCCAGAAGGGAGGATACGAGCCGATGATGTCGTACGCTCAGTCCAAGACTGCCAACATCTACATGGCCAACGAGATCGAGCGGCGCTACGGGTCTCGCGGTCTGCACGCGACGAGTCTCCACCCTGGTGTCATTGACACGCCTCTCTCCGTCAACTTCCCCAAAGCGGAGATTGATGCTTTGCTGAACAGCCCGGAGATAAAGAAACAGATGAAGTCCCCGGAACAGGGGGCTGCGACTACGGTGCTAGCTGCCGTTGGCAAGGAATGGGCCGACAAGGGAGGTAGATACCTCACCGACTGCACAGAGGGGGTACCGGAGGTTGAGGGATGCGGCCAGTTTGATACTCAATACCACGCCTCGTGGGCTTATGATGCGGAGAGCGAGGGGAGACTGTGGAAAGATTCGTTGAAGCTTGTCGGCCTCGAGGACAAAGAGTAAAGTTGCGAGAATACGTACACAGGACCTTAGTTGTGGCAAAAGTTTGGCACATTCAGTATCATAGATGAGTCTCAATACACGTCTCTTTCCTTCCAGCTTTTAGGAGCATCCTCAAGAGATGGAGAAATCATGCCGAGCAACACTTGTTAACCACCTGAAATCCACAAGCAGCGGATCCTCTTTCGCTAGCGGCTGTCTCCATCCCGGACTGTTCTTGGTGGACCTCGCAGCACAATTCTGGCATCGTGTTGCCTAATCAGGCATGTGGGCAATCTGGCCGAGCGGTCTAAGGCGCCAGACTCAAGCGTTCGCTTCATTCTCCAAGAGGATAGCATTCTGGTCTCGAAAGAGGCACGAGTTCGAATCTCGTGGTTGTCATCATTCATTTTTGCTCGTCGTTGTTTTGACGGAGATAGGACTTGTCTGTGTGAATCCCCCACTCCAAATGAAGTGAGTGCCAGAACAAGAACCTATGACAGAGCCGGCGGGGAGCAGTGGAAGCTCGATTGTATAATCCAAATCTACCGTTAATTCGTTGAAACCCAGTGTAAAAAAAATCCCAATTCTATGATCCCCGCATTTTGGTTTTGCAAGTTTTCCAAGTCTAACCAGAGCTCTCATTCATCATTGTCCAGATCAAAAGCAAAATCAACAGTCAGGAACACTGACTGGGATGTTGAACGGCACGCTCGTCGCCAAACCACTCAAACTGGTCTCCTTGAATTCGTTTCTCATTCCCTTAGCAGTCAGACGCATCGCGCGGATGGCGTCGTCCAGCCTGACCTTTTGTGTGCCCGTCTCGCTGCTCAGAGCGAGGTTGGCGCTGGAGATGGCCTTGATGGCGCCGAGAGCGTTGCGCTCGATGCACGGCGCCTGCACGAGGCCGCCGATGGGATCGCACGTCAAACCAAGGTTGTGCTCGATGCCGATCTCGGCAGCTTGCTCGATGGCCTCGGGGCTCGCGCCCATGCATGCCGCAAAGGCGCCCGCGGCCATGGAACAGGCCACGCCGACCTCCGCCATGCATCCGCCCTCAGCCGCCGAGATGGTTGCGCCGCGCTTGTAGAGCATGCCGATGGCAGCGGCGGTCAGGAGGAACGTCGGGATATCCCGCTCCGGGTCGTCGCTGATGAACTCGATGGTGTACTTCAGCACGGCGGGGATGATACCGGCGGCGCCGTTGGTGGGCGCCGTGACGATGCGACCGCCCGCTGCGTTAGTCTCATTCACTGCGATGGCGTAGACCGTGAGATAGTCCATCGTGGGGAACGTAGTCCGGCGCGAGGGAGACGGGGTGATGGGGTGGTCGAGGGAGCCCAGCACGCGTGGAGGCGACCTTCGGCCCGGGCCGAGGCCGACGCTCGTCTTGGACTTGCTTTCGCTAATCGTCGCAGGGGTCTTGTTGGATGCCGCCAAACCTGAGGAGCCAATGAACTGGATGTTCTTGCCGTCGCTCTTTTGCTCGTTGGGGTTGGGCGACGTCTGGCCGGCGGTGGAATACAAGCCTCGGGTCAGTCTCCGATAGAGTGCGGGTGCGCGCCGATGGAGCTTCAGGGACCCCGGCAGTTTGGTGTCGAGCGGCGCCTGCACGCTCTCCAAGATGCTGGTGTCCATCACCTGCCAGATCTTGAAGAGCTTGTGGTAGATTTCCTCATCCGTGTAGCCGTGGCTCTTTTCATTTTCGTAGACGAGCTGGGCAATTGTGAGGTTGTGCTTGCGACACAGCGAGAGCAGGCTGGTTGCGTCTCGGAACGGGTACCGAGGGCCCTGGCTGCCCGACTCGCTCGTATTCTCGGGGTTTTCTGAGATGTTGACACCATTTCCCTCAGATGCAACCGGTGAAAGGCTGTCTGATGAGTTCCCCAGGAGAGCCGTGTCGTCTGTTACTTCGGGCCTGACTTCGGCGCCCGTCCGACGGTCTCCCGCGGCATCGGATCGTCTGATCTCCTTGTAGAAGAGATTCTCTGCCAGATCGACCGGATGTCTACCAGCAGTATCCTCTGATGACGGGTCGGGCGAGTCCACGCGGGCGACGGACGATGAGGACGAGGATGAGACGTCAGGATTGATCGACAAGGCGCCGTTAACAACGAAGCCACCACCAACACTGAACATGTCATTGGTCGCCAGGACGTAGCCATCTGCATCGAAGACTGTGAAGCGCATGCCGTTGCTGTGCATTGGCAGCTTGCGGCCCCATTCCCAGACGAAGTCACGCTCGTAGTCGAAGTCAACCTCCTTACCCTTGCCGTCTGCCAGTCCGTGCCCTAGGAATAACTTCTTCGTGTTCTTGATCTCAGTGAACCTCTCCGGAACGTAGGCCGTGTCGACCGTCTCTACGTCCGCGCTCTCAAGACCGAGCAAGAGGGCAGAGGGTGTCATGTGGCCCTCGCCAGTGAGCGCCAGACTGCCATAAATGGAAACCCGAATCTTGTTGACCTTGCTCAAGAGATTCGCCTCTGCCAAATCAGCAACGAAAATGTTGCCAGCACGCATCGGACCGACGGTGTGAGAAGATGACGGGCCGATGCCGATAGAGAACAGGTCAAAGGTTGAGATGACGGCATGCTCGTGGTCGGCCTCGCTGTAACTCCCCGTCTCCTCCTCATCTTCGGCAGCATTGCGCCTCCGAGCTGTGCTGCTCAGGAATCGCTGCGACTGAATGCCCAAGCATCCCATAGACCGGATTGGCCTCGCCGCATGTCGTGATATCTTTGTGTTGAGAGTCGAGGGAGCTCGGCAGCCAGCGATGAAAGTGCTCTGTCCAGCCCGCGTTAAAGCGCGTTGAGCCGGCGCCCCACGTAGCAGGGCGAGCTGCCGGATCGATGAACAGCTCATCGCTCTCCCAAGAATCAACAACGGCGGACGGAAGGGTATCAATGGCGGGCTGTTTTTATGTATGGAAGAAGACACGAAGAGCTGATGAACAAAGAAAGAACTTTATTGTGACAGAAGGCGGTCTGGGGTACGCCCGGGAGATAAGAGCAGAGCTCTCCCTGGATCTGTGCTGGATCTGGGGTAAGACAAGCAATCAGCCCCAGAAATCCTGAATCTGACCAATCATGCCGCCGGAATTGGTCAACCCTTGTGAGGTGTGCTTGATATGGATGGCTGATACGTAATAGTCTGCTCGTTTTATATGGGAAGAAAAACCTTGATGAACTCATGACAGTTTCAGCGACGTTGAGCCCACGAGCCTGCGGGCCATGCAGCAGCGTTGGTGTCGAAAACATGCGCATGTGGGCTGCTACAGATGGTGTTGGCTCGCCATCATAACTGCCTCGTCACAATTGGACAGACGGATGTCGTAAGCGGCGTTAAGCCCTTTTGGGGAGGTGATGCAGGGGGTGGAGGGGGAATCATCGAACGCCAGGCAGACGTTGTCTTATCTCATCAAGCTCTCTTTCAACATCGATAACGTGCTCTTTCTCTCTCCTTTCACCAATACTCACTTCTTACTCGCATGTCTGTTTACTTTAGAAAGATGCCAGAGATAGAAGAGTACCACAAACCAGCTTCACGGCCCACGGACGATGATGCCGAGCCCGGCTCCTCATCCGAAGCGATGCCAACAAACCCCCAGCCGCAGTCCGGCTTCTTCTCCGCCCTGCCGCTCGAAATACGTCAGAACATCTATCGGCACTTGTGGATAGCCGCCGGATCGACGCAGCATGTCTACAAAGCCAGCCCCTCCCCGCTGGCGCCCCTCTCCCATTGCGCTTGCATCTCGGATCCGGACGCCGAAGACGTGCGGGAGATCAAGCTCACCAACGTTCTGGAAGCCCCGCCCGCGGAGCAAGCGCCGGAATGCCGAGATGGCGCCTTCACCGCAGAGGCCATGGCACAGCGTGACGAGATCAACGATTGGCGACTGCGCAACGCTTCGCTCTGGTGCAACCACTGGGCATGTGAAGAGGAACCCCCCGTGCTGCGGCCTGTGGATGATTCGATCGGCGATAGTGACGGCGATAAGAAAAGGCGGCGCACGATGGTGAAGGAGTTTAGCCCCTTTCTGGCCATCCTCCTCGCCTGCAAGCGCATGCACCAGGAGGCGGTCGACTCCATGTACGATGACACGGCGTTTTCATTCGTCGGGATCGATGCTCTTTCCAGATTCTTGGAGACGACCAACGCCGAATCACTGATTCGGATCAACACCCTTCACCTCATCTGGGCCGCCTCCATAGAATCATACATGGACCCAGAGGATGAAGAGGCTATTACAGCCAAGATGCAATGGTTTGACCTTTGGTCGAAGGCTGCTGATAAACTTCCTCGGTTGAAGGAACTTCGAATTTGGATGTACCCGCAATACGCCCGATACCCGATGCCTCATGAAGAATGGTTCAAGCCTCTTCATTTATTCAGAAATGTGCCCACATATGAGATCTCATTGAGATGGTTTCAAGACCCCGCGACGCCAGATACTGGGCCCTTGGATTTCTTAGAGGAGGCACCCTTCAAATATGAGCGGACGCCACCACTCGGGGAGAACCCTTTGCATTTCCATTGGCGTCGGATGATGGGGCTCTTCCTTGATGAACCGAGATCTATGCCGACCCGGAGGCAGAAGAAGAAAAGATATCTTGGCCGGTCGTGAGATGGTGCCTCGCCTGGATATATGGTAGTGAGGAAATATGAATCATTCGATGATGACACTCGTGGTAATGCAATGGCAAGTGAGTTGCTAGTTCACTATAACTGAGGGCTTTTCTCGCATACTCATCTCAGCATCTCAGCTTGTTCATTCAGAAGGTTTTCCCACCGGGTTGTAGCCTTGCTCTCGGTGGAGATCCAATGCTACCTTCTATGACATGCCCAGAACCTTATTACTTATTCATAAAGCACAGTTACCACGCTTATTAAGCTGCAGACGAGAGAAATTTGGTTGATCAAAGGAGCATTTAGACTTTTTCGCTCTCGCATAATCAGCAAGTGTCTTGACTCGTTTCGCAACAAGCGGGGCAACTACGACGCTCTTTCCCGGGACTTGAATTACTTGTCAGTAGAAAAATTGGCAATTCTTGGGCTTCCGGTGCAACCTAATTGGTTTTTGCCTCAAATACGCGGTTTAGCACCTCGGATAATGATTCGCCGGTGATGGGTACGGGCAGCTCAAAAGACACACTAACTGTCAACACATGCATCAAAACCCGCCACACGCTGCCCCTACATTATAGCGACTTTCATTACAACATCACTAGCCGTGATACCAGGGGGTCAAAATGAGTGGGATTTTCTTCGCCGACGTCTTCGCCAACCCTTCTCGGCTGGGACTGACTGTCTTGGTTGTCAGCGGTCTCTTCCTCTTAGTGAGACTCTCGAAAAGCAAAGCTCGGCTTTCGGACATTCCAGCCGTTGGAGATGCTACGAGCAAAGAAGCAAGGAGAAAGGAGTTTCTCTCCGGTAAAGCCAGAGATCTCTATGTTGAGGGCTACAAGAAGGTACGCAGTCCGGCGAGCAGGGAAGTGAAATCAACTGGACTAAGATACTTTCAGTTCAAAGACAGTGCTTTTCGCATCATGACTGCGAGACGTAAGACTTCCGAACCGCCATTGACCGAATCATCTCCCGATGAAGAAGCTCACCCGGCGTGTAGAATCCGAGTGTGTCGTTGTGTCACCAGAATTCTTAAAGCATTTGAAAAGGCTACCTGAAGACGTTCTCAGCTTCAACGAGGCAGTAGAAGAGGCAAGAGACGATGAGTTCGCTCAGAAGAGCTCATGCTAACTCTCTGGCAATGAAGGCTCTGCAGACAAAGTACACCAACATCACAAGCAATATCCCCACGATACCGCATACTCTCAAAACTTCACTCAATCCCGCTTTGTGTAAGTTGCGCCAGCATATAACGGCCTGTATCTGCTGCTGATCGTGCAAGTCCGTTTGAATCCAATCATTCTAGATGAAGTCTCAAATGCGATCCAAACAGAGTTCCCTCAGTCAGCGGACTGGTCGGACGTGAGAATAAACGGCAAGTTAGCTCGCATAGTCGCCAAAACATCAGGCAGAATCTTTGTTGGGCCCGATCTCTGTAGAGACGAGGTCTACCTCGATGCGGCCGTCAACTACACCCTCGACATGACAGCTGCTATTCAAGCTGTGGGGTTTATATCTTCCTGGCTGCGACCATTCCTAGCGTCCCGAGCACCGCAAGTCAAGAAGCTGTACCACCGCTTCCAGCAAGCGGACGATTTCCTTCGACCGGTGGTTACAGCCCGGCGCCAAGCTGCGATTAATGGCCTCAATGAGAAAAATAAGCCAGATGACATGTTACAGTGGTTGATGGACTCCCAAGACAAATTTGGTCAACAGAGTGATCGTGCGATATCAAAGTATCAGTTGAGCCTGACCTTTGCAGCCATTCACACGACAACAGCAGCATTGACCAATGCGTAGGTTCAGCTTCAAATCCTTCTCTTCGACGTTGGCTAACTTTCTTCAAGTTTCTACAATCTTGCGGCAACACCTGACCTTGTGGTAACCCTGCGACAAGAAGTCGAAGAGGTTCTAGCTGAGACAAATCTTAATATCACCGCAGTCTCACTACAAAAAATGGTGAAGCTCGACAGCTTCCTGAAGGAGATCATGAGATACTACCCTCAAAGTGCCAGTAAGACACATGCTTCACCCGTGAGATCATCTGCTAAACACCACCACTCAGCGGCATTCCAACGCAAGGTCATGAAGCCAGTAACTCTGCCAAATGGCCAGGCAATTCCTCCTGGTGTCATCCTGGAAGTCCCTTCACACGCTATTAACTATGATGGAACGATACACACAAACCCTGACGTCTTTGACGCAATGCGATTCTACAAGATCCGAAAAGAGAAGGAAGCTGCTTTGAGAAGTAAAATGTCAGCGGAGGATGCCTTTACGGAAGCAGCAACAAACAATCAGTTTGCGAGTGTGGGAGATACGAGTCTTGCTTTTGGATACGGCAGGAATGCCTGTCCTGGCCGGTTCTTTGCGGCGAACGAGACGAAGATGATTCTGGCGACTACGTTCTTGAAGTACGACTTGAAGATGCCTGACGGCTATACCGAGAGGTACACGAATCTCACCTTCGGATCCCAGGTTTGCATTACCCATTCAACTTTCAAGAACCAGCTAATGATACCGTCGCAGTCAGTTCCAGATCCCACCAAGACCATCATGATGAGGCTGCGGAACTAGACCTTATGAGCGATCCTTTGTAGATAGCATTATGTGGGAGCGAAAATGCAGTGAACTATTCTGAACTCTCTCTAGAGTCTTGCAGATAACCTCAATCACCTAAGGAAGCTCTCACGATTTCGTCACTCAATTCCCATAGCCGCTTTTCATTCTCCTCATCGAAAGCATGCGGCGCGTACCCAGGTCCTGTTCTGCCCTCAGTGCATGTTTCAGACGGGACGCCTTCCTGGACATCAGCTAGATACTTGCCGCCCTGGTGATGCCATTCGGCACCGACAGCAGCCCAGATCGTCGTGGCAGCAGCTTGCTCGACGGATTTGATGAGCTTCGCGATTTCAGGGGGTCCGAACAACCTCTTCATGAAGTCTTCTCCGACATGGCGACTCAGGCCAGAGACCACTGCTCCGGGATGGATAGAGGTGGCGTGTAGGTGATGTGGGCCGTACCGTCGCTCGACTTCATTCGCCATCCAGATATTAGCCGTCTTTGAGGCGCCGTATGCGCTGTGTGCGTCATAGGTCGCCTTCTCGAGATTTAAATCGTCGAGGTCCACGGGGCTCGCTAGATGAGATCGTGAAGATACCATGACAAGCCTCGAAGGGTACAATGGCGTAAGGGATTTGAGGAGAGTATCTTTGAGAGCTTCGAAGAGGGCAAAGTGTCCCAAATGATTGGTTCCGAAGTGCATCTCGAATCCATCTTTAGTCCTAGCTTTGGGGTGCAACCCGACACCTGTCTATGATTGAGCATCATGATAGCCGTCAACACACCAAAACTTACCAGCATTACAAATCAAACAATTCAGCGTGTCGCTCATCTGTAGAAACTTTGATGCTGCATCTCGAACACTGGCTAGCGAGTCCAAGTGCATCTCAATGAATACCACCTTGCCCGGTTTTCCGTCATGCATTATCCGCTTCACGACTTCTTCGCCCCTTGCCGTGTCCCGACCCGTGATGTAGACATCAGCGCCGGTGGCATGCAACGCCCTGGCTGTCTCGACCCCGATTCCGTTCGTGCACCCCGTCACGAGAAAGACTTTCCCCTGAAGTTTGCCATCGAGTCCTTGGTCTCGGATGACTTTCAACGCCGTGGGTCGAGCATCGCCAGGACCGTTCGGATCCTCATGGTCCTTGTCGTAAGGGGCGATTGGGGTCGAGGCCATGGTTTCGGCCGAACTTCGATTCATCTGAAGGAAAACAATCGCCGGAGAAAAGGTTGCACCTGGAACATAAGAACGTTTGCAGGCGACAGTGCGACCATAAGTAGCTGCCCCTCCAGCTCCACGCTGACATGCCAATTAAGGTTTTGTTTCCTACATAGGCAAGTTTCCCATACGAAGGGCGGGTCGGCTGATGCCGGTGGGACAAGAGAGCTGATTCAGACTGTTGCATTGCGCGGCCAAGCCACTCGGTTTCGTTTGGACCGAACTGCCTTTATTTTGACAACGTCCAATCTGAGAGGTTGGAGGACGCCATCATTATTTGACAGGTGACCTAACAGGTGGAACACAGACAAGACCACACCCACACCCATATCGATGAGTCTTACGCGCCACGCGACAAGGATCTCGATACTTCACAACACTAGCGTCAAACAACTGGCCTGCTGTTCATGGTTCTACCAAATGGTCACCTACTGTCCAAGGACTTTCGTTTTCAAATGTTCAGAGTATCAGCCACCGAGAATCAATATTGACCATGTGCCTAGATATCTGTGTCTCTGCGCAAATTTTAAAGACAGAGATCTCGGCATGGGATCTGCAGCCGGCTTCGGCAGCCGGTAGCACCACGGCCTCGAATGCTGCCATGGCGTCCGTGCATTTGTTTGCGAATAGCGTCTTCACATCAGACGATACAAGCTGAAGCACAGGGGCTGTGAATGACGCTGCTAAGAGGTTTGTGCACCGGAAACATTTAAGAGGAACACCTTCGGCATTCCCGCCCCACGCGCTCAGATGCCGCTGATCTGGCGTCAACTCAAAAACAACAACTCAACCCATCATTTGATCCCCTTGACCAAGGGTTCATCCAAGTCCTGCAAAAAAGTCAACTGTTCCCGGCGCCCAGTTCAGACCGTCTGGCTGCTTTGCGACCGCGGATATGAGGGTCATTCAGGCTCTTCTGCTGCTCTTGGCAGCGGTCGGCCTCGCACTGGCCGACCCGGCGGCTGAGACCGGAGACATGGACTTGTTTCCGGGCGCAGTGTTTGAGGGCATTGCCTGGCGCGGCGACGAAGCAGTGAGAATTTTGTACAGGCCTTCGATTACTGAAAACGGGAAATTGGCTAATCAAACTTGTCACAGCTGTCCATCAGAAAGCCCACCACCTCCAGCCCCGAAGAGTCCACCGCCGAAAAACGCGAAAAGTCCGAAAAGGGCGAAGGGTTCCAAAGGGTCATCAAACGCAAAGGGAACGTCGGGCGCGAGGGGAGCAAAGGGCTCGAAGGAGAAAGGGTCGAAGGACAAGGGGCTGAAGGGGAAGGGCCCCAAAGGATCCAAGGGCGGGAAGGGATCGAAAAAATCGAAAGGCGCGGGAGAGTGACTGGAGAACCCTGCACCTCGGGTAGAGGAGAGTGCAACACGGGTCTTGGTTGTTATGGGTGTCAAGGGCATAGAACAGTTTGTCAGAAGGGCCCTGGCTCAGGACAATGCTGTTTCAACGAAGACAGCAGGGGAGCCATTTGTGAGCCAATGGCGGGATAATACCAGCAAAAACGACTGCCATACTACAGGTCATAATAATGATATATTTCTATGTGGATTTCCTGGGGTTTGATGGATCATTGATATTTCATGGGCCATGGGATGTCGACCCAAATCTGCGTAAAGAATCGACAACGGGTCGCAAACAATCACTAAGATGTCGACGCTTTCAGCAGGGACTAGAAATTTGAAGTTAAGGACAATCATGTTGCATTGTACTATCAACTCAAACCATATGCTAATAACCAAAACATGATACTTCCGTTAGACCTTGGTTGTGGCGTGCTCACTCTCCTCAACATCAACCGGACCGTCTCCCTTCCCCCCCTCGTCGAGTCGAACATTGGCCTGCTCACCATCAAAAATGACCGCAATCTCTTCCAATGCCTTGCCCTTAGTCTCGAGGAACCATCCGTACGCAATGAAGCTCTCGACCGCCAAGATGACAACATAGACGATGTAAAACCGCCAGCCTATGTTCTGCAGTCCGATGGGGTTGACATACTGGTTCACAAACACAGCAGCCTTGGTCGAGAACACGTAGGTGGCCATGCCCTTTGCACGGATGGAGAACGGCAGGATTTCGACGGAGTAAGCTACCGGCAAGGGCGAGAATGCGATGCAGTAAAAGATCTGGTACACAAAGATGAGAGCGAGGACGGCGATGCCGGCGGAGCTCGCGTTCGTCTCTGCAAAACGGGCGGAAGCTATGGTCCAGCCGATGAAGACTGTGAGCATGCCGATCGTGGAGATTCGGAACAGTGGTCGTCGGCCAACTTTCTCGACAAAGAAGGCGGTCGTGAGGGCAAGGCCGAAGTTCCAAATGTTGACGAGTCCGTTTACGAGAGCCTGGGTGTTCTTGTCCTTGATTCCCACTGTGTCCATGATTCTAGCTACTATTAGAATATAATCTTGACCCACTAGGTGATAACTTACCTTGATAAATAATAGGCGATCAATCCGTTTCCGGACCACTGAGAGAAGAACCCCATGCCTTGGAATCGCCGTTAGATATAATCAAAGATGAATAGAGGCAATAAGTGACTCACAGATAACAAGGAACATGCGATAACGATTACCCTTGGTAGAGACCATTGACTTCCAAGTTGTCGCACCAAGCCCTACGAATTGGGTTAATCGCTAAGACTTCCGGACTTTGTGCAGAGGGTTTTCTTACTCTTCTCATTATCAATTGCCGTCCTGATCTCCTCGTACTCGAGCCTGACTAGTTCCGTCTCTTCCCCTTCGCCGTGATATCGCTTGAGAGCCTCAAGAGCGTCGTGATCGCGGTCCTTGGAGATGAGCCATCGAGGAGACTCAGGTAGGAACCAGACAGCCGAGAGTTGGACAACGCTTGGTGCCATCTGGAGAAGCGAGGGAATTCTCCATGACCAAGTGCTTGGGATCGTGCGAGTTCCGAAGGCTGTTCGTTCGTTATTAGCTTCCGATCCAATTGATTTGAGGGCAGGAATTGACATACTGATCCAAGCTGCAGCAATACTTCCAAGATACCAGCTGAAAAGGTTGCCTCCGTCAGTCTGACATTACTGAAATTGGATAAGCTGTTTTTGATGCTTACCATGTATTGCAGATGGCCGTGATGGTGACACGATCTTTGGGATGCGATAACTCGCTGACCAAGCTAGGGGCCGAGGTCGTTGCAAAGGAGAGTCCAAAGCCCAAGATGAATCTGCTCACAACGAACATGGCAAACTCGGTGCTCTCGCACTGGATGATGGCTCCGGCAATCATGATCAGACTCCCCACCGTGATACCCCATCGTCGCCCAAACCTATCAGCGACCCAGGGGGCAATAGGAGTTGAACAGATGCTGCCCAAAGCCATAATGGCGCTCATCAAGCCAAGCACAGCACCGCGAGGATTGTCGAAGAAGTCATCGAAATAGGACACCGTCTGGAGCGAGTTCATCATCGAGCCGTCATAGCCGCTGGTGGCGTACGATACAACGGCAGCAGGGAACAGGAGGAAGTATAACTTCCTCCGGGCCCCGGATCTGTACCATGCCGGCGACTCTTGGGCCAGCTGGGCAATGCGAGAGGGCTGGTAGGTTTCGTTTGCAGCGGCCGGACCACCTTGCTGGCGAGCTCGGCGGGCTGCCTGGTCCTGCCTCGGCGCAGGGAGTCTTTCGCGGAGGAAGTTCATTGTCGCTGATACCGATGCTTGACAGACAACAGACTTGGGAGGGGAGGAAGGGAGATCAGTTGACTCAGCGATGGAAGGAGCTGATCTGAGCCGAGGAACAAGACCAGGAAACCGGGATTCCGTGTGACCTTATATGCGTATAATCTTTCCAGCTGCAAAGGTGGAACGATGAAGTTGTTCTGAACACCCGCACCATTTCCGGGTTTTGCTCGTCGGGTTGGGGTCTAAGTTGAGGGTGACGAAGTCCTAAAGTCGGCATCTGGGGCTAAATGAAACGAACTCGATCGGGCGATATCGCCATTGGCGCGGAAACTAGCTCGATGGTCTTCCTGACAGAACCGTACTGCTGGAATTACCAGTCGACCTGCCGAGGACAAACAACACGACAGGGATCACCAGTCGGATGATGGGATGCGGAGAAGAAGCAGGGGCGATCCGGGGGCTGGGGTAAAGTGCAATCCAATCCCCACACGGAGGAACATCATGAGATGAATAGTCGTTCAGGCGAGACCAGTCTCCATGGGGTAAAACGAATGATTAGCGGTTGGGGGTGAAGTCACGCTCGTCTGACTCGGCATTTTTCCGTGGCGGAAGACAGCAGTTGTCAAGTGAGAATAGCAAAGTGCGCCGAGACTTGTTCAACTTGTGTAGCGTCGGCGATGTGGAGAAGCCTGAGAGTCGTCTTTCAGTCTGGAAGCCCCCTCTTAGGTAGAACTGACGAATCATGACTCGTCGGGGCAGCTAAAGTGATCCCCCGAACCAACGTGGGTCACTTCGGGGCAACGAAAACCATCCCCCTAGCGTCGTTTTCGCTTCGGTTGAAGTTGTCCGCGCCTATGCGGGGCATCCAAGACAGTCCCCGAAGTTGGAACGTGGGGTCGGGGGAGCGTCTTCGTCTTCCCCGATGGTTCACGCGGGCGCCCTTTGGTCGCGTTCATGGCCTCGGAAGCGCGTATGTACGAGTCTTGTCTCCGATCACCTCATGATTGGGACCCCAATTGTGGCACCGAACGTCATGGGGACTGTGGGACGTATGCAACTTCTCTGTAACGCGGGCGATAGCTCGTCGCGTGGCTCGCAGTTAAACATGATTTTCGCATGTGAGGCAGTCATATTTAGGAGCTCAAATGGTCCCGCTGGGTCAAGTCGGAGGATGGCTTCGACCTCTGCATTCTCTCTTCGTCTCTTCTCTCTTCTTGTCGCCAATTAACCGCTCAATTGTCTGCCAATATGTCGAACGGTATCTTGAAGACGTCAGGGCCTGATGTTGTCGATGCTTCAGGTAACCCAGTCCGCCTGCGCGGGGTAAGAAGATGGTCGCAAGCTCCAATGTCACTCCGGTCACTCACTGACTTCTTCTCTAGACGGCACTTGGTGGCTGGATGCTCATGGAGAACTTCATGAACGGCTTCCCCGGTCGCGAACACCAGATCCGCGCAGCGCTCCTCAAGGTCCTTGGCAAGGAGAAGTACGAATTCTTCTTTGACAAGTTTCTCGAGTACTTCTTCACGGAGAAGGATGCCGAGTTTCTGTCCTCAATCGGCTTCAATTGCGTCCGTCTGTCTTTCAACTACCACCACTTTGAAGACGACATGAACCCTTTCGTCATCAAAGAAGAGGGTTTCAAGCATCTCGATCGCGCAATTGAAATTGTGAGTCTTCATTCGACCTGAACATGGATCCCATATTCAAGCTGGCACTAACAGTTTCGTTACGCAGTGCTCCAAGTACGGGATCTACACTATCCTCGACCTCCACTCCGCCCCGGGAGGCCAGAACCAGGACTGGCATTCAGACAACCCGACAGGATACGCCGCTTTCTGGGATCACAAGCATTTCCAGGACAGAGTCATCAACCTGTGGCAGATTCTCGCAAAGCGCTACAAGGGCAACCCGTGGATCGCAGGATTCAACCCTCTTAATGAGCCCGCCGATGTCGAGTGGACACGACTCTTGGCCTTTTACGATCGCATCGTTCCTGCCATCCGCGAGATCGACCCGGATCATATCCTCTTCCTCGAGGGCAACACCTTCAGCATGGACTTCTCCGGCTTCACCAAGGTGTTCCCCAACTCCGTGTACGCGGTCCACGACTACTGCGGCTTCGGATTCCCGAACCGCATTGGCAGATACCAGGGTTTGAAGGACCAAGACGCGTATATCCGGCAAATGTACGATCGCAAGGTTGCGTTTATGAAGGAGCACAATGTTCCCATCTGGAACGGTAAGCAAGTTCGTTCTGCGGGCAATTCCTCGCAAACGCTGACAGGGTTTCCGTAACAGGCGAATTCGGTCCGATCTACGAGCGCGAAGAGTATAACCCTGACTGGAAGGTTCACAACGAGGAGAGATACGACATGTTGGATAGACAAATAGCGATCTACACCTCCGAAGGCATTGGTAAGCCCAAACAGAAATCGAATTCGACAACAACTAGCTGACCCCATATCTTAGCATGGAGCATCTGGGCCTACAAGGACGTTAACGTCATGGGAATGACATACCTCTCCCCCGACTCGGCCTGGCTCAAGCTTCTCGGTCCCATGATCCGCAAAAAGCGCGACCTCGCCGTCGACAGCTGGGCCTACGACGACGCGCATCTCCAGCCCAACCTCTTCGGCCCGCTTCACAAGTGGTTCGAGGACAACGTCCCAGCACAGTACAACAAGAAGTACCCGTGGCAGTGGCGCATGCACATGCACGTCTTCCGCGGAATCCGCGGCATCACCATGGCCGAGTACATGATTCCCGAGTGGGCCGACTACTTCAAGGACAAGACCTTTGAGGAGCTTGACGAGTTGGCGGCCAGTTGGAAGTACGAGAACTGCTGTCAGCGAGAGCGATTGAATGAGTTGCTCAAGTTGTATGCGCCCATGACGCCAGAGGATAAGAGGCTGGAGGGCAAGGTCATCCAGCCCGAGGCGGAGAAGAACGGCGACAAGCCCAAAGAGACGGTGTCCGGTGTCGGCGTGTTCGAGCTGTCCCCGGAAGAAAAGGCGAAGAAGCTCGCGCAGACGAACGGCACGCCCATTGCTGTTGCCTCATGATTGAATCCCTGTTTCGAGACTACGGAAACGAAATGCATACATCGGCGTTCTTTGGAATTTGATAGACGAAATTAGAATCAATGAATGAATTTCCGATGAACACCCACAACCTAGTGGATCATCTGGTTGCCAGCCGTGTTATTTCCATTTATGGGTATCTTTACAGTTTACCTACCATATCTAACTCATAATAGAACACTCTGCTCCAGCAACTGAATTTTTTCGTATTTACATCGTCATGTGATTTTTGCAGGATGCCTCAAGTCGCTCCAACACCCCTAGGTGCCACTGAAACTCTGTAACGCTGATGCTAAACCTCCTCAAGTTTCGCTTGCCGATGAATATCACCTGCTCTATATCTGATGGTAGGGCGTCGCGAAAGACGGGACACACCGTTGCCACTCTGAGGATCATTACCATGGTAAACGTGCTGAATGAAGTTAGACTGTTGATCGGAATCGAGGCAGATGGAAGAGCTTACACAAGACCACTGGAGAATAGGCCGGTAATACTAATGGCCGGATCGATATCAAAAACGTTGAGAAATCCTCGAATTCCTTCCAAGCATAGCCTGCAACGGTGGAGAATCGCCTCTTTGCAGGGATGGGTATCAAAATGCGCCATATTGAGAAGCACATACTCGATGAAAGGTCGGTGAATGATGTATTGCCCAGCATAGTATCGTCCTTTGAGTCGAAGGACGTTCCATGGGTTGTTACCGAGCTCTTCGACCCTGATGATGCCTGGTGTCATCGGCGAGCTTGCATTCTCTTGGTCGGTGCGTTTTCGCGGCTGGCTTGTCAGAAGGAAATCCGGTAGGTTGCGGTAGAGCGCTCCATGATAAGACCACAGGTCTTCTGTTATGCGCAGCAGCCAATTTGCGTAGCTGTCTCTTGTCATCCGGAACTGATCTTTGCTGTCGTAAATTACACTATTGACGCGGTTAAGAAATCGCCGGATGGCCGCATTGGTGCTAATCTGGAATGCAACTAGTTCTTCCGTTCGATAGAATGTCGATGTTGCCGGGCTGGTAGGATTCGCCTCCGGCGTGGAGAACGCTGCCGCATGTTCTTGTCGATGCTTGGGCGTCTCGGGTGCAGGGTAAGGCACAACATCCTCGTATCTGGCAATGCCTGATGGGAGGGTAATGGAGACCTCGGAAATGAAGTCACCTTCATAGATGAGCGAGACCCAATACAACCGTCTGAAAGCGTCTGAAAATCGTTCTGCGTCGTTCGTGCTTGCGATTGCCCTTCTTGCCAGTGCCTCGCACTTTACCGCCGTTGCATGAACCCAATGAAAAGAGTCTGCCATTCGGCCTTTGGCCCCCTTGTAAAGACTCGCCAGCATGCTGCACTGGGCAGCTTGAAGATTGATTTCCGAGGAGATGAAACCAAGTAGTAAACGAGCCTTCTGCCAGAGCTTCTCATCAAGTCCTGTGACCTCTTTAAAATATCCAGATCCTAGAGATGGAGGCTCCTGACCACCATTTCTGCCCGCAGCCTCGTCCAAAGAGATGCGGTATTCTCCTATGCACACGAAAGACCCCATGCATAAAACAAGGAGAAGAAGACAGTACCTCGCCGGTGAGATGGAGTCAGACTCAAGGGCCGGAGACTTTTCGCATGACACAACCTCGTTGAACGTTGCGAGGATGTCGTCGAGAGAAAGTAGTGGGAAAAAGATGTTGACCTCCGCAAAGTACTCATGGATTACTTCGCGATATCTGTCTGCGGCATCGATGGAGACCGGCAGGCTCCGATCCCGGAATAGCCTCCACGACTCCGGGGGAGGGCTTGACCTCGTCTCATCCGAAGATTCCTGGAAGAACATGTCTGTTGCTTCTGTTGATCGTACACCGGGTGGCATGACTGGCCGTGGGGGCATTGGCTCTGAGTCATTTAGCAATTGCTGAACGACTGGCCATTCTAGAACATGATTGGCGCTGGCCGTATGAGACAGTGGGATTTGAATCTGAGCGTCACCTTCTTGTACCAGCGAAGCGCCCGTATCTGCGTGCTCGTCCAATGCCCCTGTATCTTGCGTCCTAGGCCCCGATCCCGGAGTTGTCGGCTGTTGAGCCACTTGAGGCGACTCTGAATCCACCGTATGTTGAGTTTGATGTGGAGATACCTGAGCTGAGAAGATTGGCGAGGCAAATAGGCGGTCCTCCAGCATCTGTATTCTCTCTAACAAGATGCGAGTGTTCTGCTCGATGCGTGGTTGATTCGAATCGCGGTAGATACACTCCACGTTCTGCGTCATGCACAAGCTGCACTTCGGCTTAGCCGCGTCGCATCTTGTCTTGCGGGCCCGGCAATTCGTGCATGCCTGCCACACCCGGCGCCGTGCCGGGAAGTAATGTGCGGCCGAGAAGGACGATGATGGGCCGGAGGTGTCCATTCTCGGAGTCCGGGAACAGCAGCACAGTCTCAGCTTGGTTGGAATCGATGCGGAGTAAGGAGAAGGAAGAAAGTGTCTTTTTCAGTGATTTTACTGGCTCGGCACCAGGTTAAAAGAGACCTGGTCAGGGGCGCCACGTGGAAACCTCCCCCGCCCGACCCCGCTGTCTAGCGTTCTCGGCCCCATGAACAGTCCCGAATACGCCGATCGATGGTCTGTCTGTCTTTAGAGCATGAAATCAGAGCAGAATTGTTCAATGCGTTTCGTAGATGTTTGTCTACTAGGTACCTGTATATATCTGTCAACGAGTACAAGAGATAGTTTCCATTTCCATTGCAACCGATGCTCACATGATCTGAATGAGTGATACTCAGGCTGACGTCGTAAGCTCTCTTCCTTCGAAACAGCTACCGAGAGTTGGCTAGTTTGCGACATTTTGCTATGATGAGTTGACGCGATTTGATACAAAGAGAAGTGCCAAACATCATGTCATGGGTGAATAAATGAGAAGTCTCTGACCTTCCCAGCTGGAAGAAACTTTTGTGTCGTCGCTAACGAAGCGATATCTGTCTGGGCTATCTATTCACAATTCTGAGCAAAGTTATGAGGCTAGGTCGTTGACACCTGGAAGTTAATGAAGGGGCTCCGCGTCAACGATCCGGTAGCCCGACGAAGAAAGACTGAGAATACAGATCAATTTGAGTAGAAGTCAAGCGATCTGTAACAAGGTCGAAACTTCGAGACATAGTCAGTAAGGCGGAGATAATACTCCTCGGTATGTATATGCACGTGTCGCAGCCAAGGATAACCACTCGCCAAATCGGAACAGACAACATGCCGCAGAGTGGGCGTCGTGGCCCTACTCACTTACATCAGAGTGCAGTCAAAAAACAACCCGAATGATCATCATTCAACACTTTGACTCAGAGGTACTATGCACTAAGAAACACGTTGCGTTTTGTTGGTAGCAGAGACTTTCCTAGACCAGGATAAATTTAAGAGAAGTGAGGAAGCCTACAACATGGTTTAATTCAGAGACATCAAGAAGACTGGTGCGTTAGGCTAGAAGGTGACGCTGGCTAGTCTCCACTGATCAGCTTTGCCAGCCATATCTATGTACTGAGTTGAGATACCGAAGACAACCAGAGTTATGGGTGAAACTGCGTTCTTTTTTGCGCCTTACTTCACAGGTGAGCCTTCAAGTTCAGCTGTACATCTTTTCAGTCTGAGTGCTGACTCGACAGCCCGTAAGATTATAGAGATGGATTGAACAACCCAAAGCGCATAGCTGAGTAATTTTCAAAGTCAAGGGCAAGGTCACATCAATTTCACTCCGGTCTGAATTCTAAACCTCCTCTGACTGTATGTTGAAATAAGCTACGTAGGCAGGCAAGATTCCTAAGATCCCACCACGCTGTGATTCTTCTGGGAGAGTCATTTCCGAAATGATCACCGCCTTCGATGCGGACTGCAGTTGTAGATACCGGTACCTTTCATGCGCTGTAGTGTATGTATGACCCCCAGACATTGGCATTGTTGGGATGGCGTTTACGAACCTCAAGTACAGCGTTCCTCAATGCCTCTGCAAGGAGCCTGTTTGGCGAGGTAACCTCTGTTTTGGGTTTGCTCAAGAACTCATTAAAGAGTTGGGCAACTTCAATGGAAACCTAGTCGCTGACTGGCCACATGGATCCAATCACAGGACCAAATCCAGTAACCTGAAAGGCGCTTGTCGCGTGCAAACCCTCGTTCTTGAGGTTGGATGCGCTCACTTCAGCTGTTGAACATGCAGATAAGCAAGCGCTCCAAGCTCGCGTTTGAACCTTCGTGGCCATGAGTGACTTGACCTTGAGTTTGTCCAAGTCTTTATCAGAAGTTTGCAATAGCAAGTGACTCTGCAATAGATCCAGAGGACCGGAGGTGCCGTGGCAAGCGAAGTGTACAATTTGCGCGTCTTGCATACCGTCCAAAACCAGATGGGAGCTGGGCTTTTCAAGCTCCGTGATGTTGTATGTGCCATTCTACCGCTGTCTTGATAGCCTGTCCCTCACGAATAACTCCAGGAAGAGGTGCGCCACCAGGTGTGCTAGGCATAGTAGCAACGAGAAGGTTGTACGGGTCGACGCGATTCTATTCCTGTCCCCTCAAGGCGCGATTTCGAGCGTTCTGAAGAGCCTTGATGGTCGACCTGTACGAAGAAATGGCCAGGTCGAGAGCGCTGCCAGGAGCCTCCGCGTTGGAACTCGTGGCCGCATGGAACGGATAGCTGCTGGCGGATCTATCGCCAATCCACCATATACGGGGCAGTTCGGTATCGCGGGGCTTTTGGCCGAGGTCTTTCGTGATTTGCTGGAGAATAGGATGAACGCAAGCAGACCACAGCCACTCCAGTGCCATATCGTTCAATCGCGGAACACGTTTTGGTTTGATGTCTCGCTGACCCGTCTGCTCTTCCGTTCCATCCAATCCCAAGTGCCCCCAATCATCCAACTGGATGTCATTCCGGTAAGATCTACAGCCTGGTCTATCAAACTAATAGATGTCTTACCTTCGTAAAAGAAGTAACTGACCGAGGATACCGATAACCAACCGACCGCACAGATTAATAGATGGAATTGCTCGCTATCGCAACGGATTTCAGTACAAGTCTCTCACGTCTCTTTTACAACCGTTTCAAAGCCCATGGAGAACGGGACTAACTTGCTTCAATATGGTAGGACGAGGTCTATTTGAAGTCGTGTCACAAACAACAGACAATCTTCAAACCGCCAAGCTCGGCATGCTTTGAGTGCGCAATATCATTTAACATGAGTAAGCCAATGACAAACGGCAGGACATCATAGGCATGAACAACTATTAAGCTGCTGTTTTGTTTCTTGAGTGACGATCATGCTGTACATCATTCCATTTCGAAAATCGTAGGGCTGCGTGACGCGGGGGATGCCTGACTCGTTTGCTAACGAAGTTTCACCTGATGTGCGCTGTGTCAACAGCGATGCCATCCAAACTTCTGGCGTCGCAGACTGCACCTTCTCGAGGAATGTGGGAAACGCCGGGAGAGAATCCGGGCGGGAAGACGGCTACGATGTAAGGTTAAATCTTTGGGGTTCATGGGCGTCTCTATCCATAAAAGGCGAGAAGACCACCTGCAAAGATACACCATGTCTTGAACTGGTCACCAGTCTTCCATTCTTTAGTGCCGAGCACAGCTTATTCGACGTTCCTATCTTTTCTCTTACGGCGCCACTCCTTAGCCGACCTTTCTTACTTCCTCTCTCCTTAATTCAAACTGATCTGAGTCCTGACTTTCAACGAGTGTCAAAAAAATGAGGTTTCTCAACGCCACTCTTTTGGTCCTTTGCTCTGCGCTTAGCGTCCTTGCGAGTAAGTCATGCTACCATACGCCTACCTTGATAGAACATGGTTGACAGGAATCGCCTTCAATTAGTACCTCAAGGCAAGAGCGTTAAAGGACAAGCTTGCACAAACGGACAATTCAGTGGAGTTTGCGGTGCCGACGGCCGGTGTGGACTAAACATTCCGCCGAACGAGCTGTCACGTCAATTCGTCGCTGGTCAATGCGGCCGATGAATGTCACTCGCTTATTCATAACTTTCCTTATACAATTCAATAATCAACGAGCATATTGTCTTGGAAAATCAGCTTCGTCCGAGAGAACCTCTTGCTTCATCATCAGATACACCATACATACTTCAACGAGCCACCACGTAGCTGATGTCATGCCAACTTCTATTCTTCAGGCCGATCCTTAAACGTCTTGTCTTATAACTAGGTAGTCCAGTTACTTCAGTGATCACGCAATTGTTATCTAAGTTGATCGAGAAGCATGCCCCGTGAATATGAAACAATCTCGCCGAAAACTTCCCCAAACAGAAACACCAAGGAATATTTTAGCTGTTCTTACGGGGACCCTATATAAGCCGCCAAGCTTGATGTTGCGAGCTCGAATTGATTTCTTGGGTGCACTTCCCTTGTATCAATACGACGACTTATATCTCACTTGCGTCTGTTCCATAGAAATGACGCTGCTGACATAACTAGCGATGTGGTGACTTGCTAACCTGTCTGTAGTCACCTGGTCACGTACATGTCTAAGTTGTAAAGCAACGGATCACCTAACCACCTGCGACCATAATATTGATACCAATTTCTGACCTGAGTCTCCGGTCTTTGGTTGCCGATTTAATGATTGTCACTGGTCGGTGTACTGCCGAAGACTCAGAACTTGCAGGCGTGCATTCCTGTTGGCATTCCTGTTGGCATTCCTGTTGGCATTGACAGTGGGTGTGCATTTCCATTCTCCTGTGGACACAATTGCGAGAAAAGAGAAGCAAATCGTTTGAAATACACTACGACTTAAGCTTTGCTTGCTATAGCTATGTGTGCGGACATGAGGTGGGTTTCTACGTCATGCCGGTTACCGACAGGGTCATCCCAACTTTGGTGACTGAGAACCCGAGCTGTCAAGTGTCAGAGAAAGTAGCACGTCCGGGAAACCTTTCACAGAAAATATGTAATCGCTGACTGTTGAGTCGAATTCATAGAACTATGGACTTCCACACATTCTCTCCGCGTTTGGTGTCTCTTCGATGTGAGTTAGGAGGGGAGGTGCCGTTGCCCGGCAGACACGGAGACTTTCGACGTCACTCACACGCACCCAAGTGGTATTAAGCCCCCACCAGCTGCGTGTATGAAAATGGCTGTCTACCTTACGGGTGCGAAAACAGGACTCACGTAGCAGCGAGACATGGTAGATGGATATTGGCCTCAATCAGAGTAGGAACCAGCCCTGGGTGCAATCAAGACGGAACGGCTCTAACAGCCTAATCCTCATGAATTCATGAACATCTGACCAAGGCCCAGTTGATCTCGCCTATACAGAGTTATGTTAAGATTTTAAGATCATGGGAGAATTGCAGTGAAATAGGAGCAAAGGCCTGGAGGCAGAATTTTGTTGTGGTGAGTGTGCTCCAGCTTTAAGAAGGGTCCTCGCTTTCGTGTTACAGGGGACGGTCCTTGATCTCCTAAAAGGGGCGCTGCACTGACCATTCTGGAGTTGATCTGCAATCGTAACGACAGCGATCGCGGATTGACCCGTCATCTGTCCCAACATTTGGAGAGTCTTTGCATACGAAGATTCTGAAAGAGATTTCATTGAGCATGGTTTCGTGGAATCGTGATGCCAATCATCAGCTGATGACGACCCTCTTAGGAGAGTCACCGTCATTGACGAGCCTCCAGACGACAAGCTGGGCGATGGGGCAGCCCCAGAAATCTGACAGGTGTCGTCGTCAGCAATAAATTGCCCGATTGGGGACCAAAGAGTTTAACACTGTAAAATGCCTACCAAGAAGTCAGCAACACCATTTCTTACAATGCCAATGTCCGATGATCCGGTCTACTTTGCCCGTTGATGCAAAGTCTTAGTGGACGACTCCGCAGGTGTTGGCCCGAAGGCCCAGATTACGGCGCACAGCAAGCCGGCTCTCCCTGTCTAAGCCGTTTCAATCAAAATTACAGTGCAGGGCATGCAGCGCCTACGCCAACCCTATCCTGGCCCTGAAGCCATACACAACTACCGTTCATTCGCTGGGCGGAAAACCCGCCAAGTTGACAACGCGTTTCAGCTGCCCGAGCCCGCAGAACGGTGCGCTTACCCCCTGTCGAACCGACCAGGATCGACGAGATACCAGCGGGGCATTTGCGATGTAGTTGATTATGGGATGAACAAACGTCGAGTCCGCCGTATCTAGTCGAGCCAAAGGTTTATAGAAAGCCGTCAGCCTGTCTTATTGTTCGAAGGTTTGCTTACTGAGCCAGTCATTCCTTTCTCCTCAATCAGTACCTTTCCTCGAAACTCCTTGAGTTGTCCGTTCGTTCCTTTTGCTTTCTTCGTTGTACTCTTCAATATGCATCCCGCTACATCCCTCCTGCTTGCCGGTGCTGGCATCGCCAATGCCTACACAATTGCTGTGGCCGAGCCCTTCATGAGAAAAAACATCGACCCGGTGGTTATTCCCGGCCAGTACAAGAGTCATATGCATACCTTCTTTGGCTCCGATGCCGTCACTCTCAACACCAACACGTCTGCGGAGCTTCAGGCCGGCTGCTCAACTGCCGAGAACCCCAACGACTATTCCTCTTACTGTAAGTTCTTATATCTTATTACTATAGTTGCTTGGTGTTGAACGTTTCATGAAGTGTATCTACTAACAACATCTAAGGGGTCCCTACCCTCTATGTCAAGAACGACACGGGCATGACTCCCGTCCCTTTCTCCCGCTTCTCAGCCTATTACGTTTCTATCGAGAATGCCGAAGTCGCCATCCCCCAAAACTACAAGACCGTGGCCGGCAACTCGAAAGCAACATCCCAAGCCGATGTTGAGGAGCTGGCCGGTATCCAGTGGTTCTGCGAGGGCGACGACGGCGAAACAAAGGATGCTGCAGCCTTCCCGACGAAGACGTGTTCCACGCACCTTCAAACCCTTCTGCTCTTCCACGACTGCGTCAACGAGCAGACCCTTGAATCCGCCTACTCGGGAACTCAGAACTGGAAGGACGGCTTCAAGCCCGCCAACCGCTGCCCCGAGAACATGAAGCGCATGCCCCAGCTGCGCTTCTCCATCCGCTACGATCTCCGCAAGGTTCTTCCCGACGGCTGGAATGGAACGCCTCCCTTCGAGCTCGCATGCGGTAGCTCGTACTGCTCCCACGGCGATTTTATCAACGGCTGGCTTCCCGAGGCCGCGACGAACATGCTCAAGGCCAACGACAAGCGCGAGTTCGCCGGCGTCGACGGACCTGATGGAGCGTACAATGCTGGTTCCAAGTGTGGTGCTGAGAACGCCAAGGATGCTGACCCCAACAACGGTACCAGCGACTATGATGAGAGCGTTAAGATGATGAGCAGCAAGCGCAGCATCGGTCAGCGCTTCCGGTCTGCTCGCTCTGCTTAAGAGACACATCGGCCGGCGATATTTTAAGAAAGACGAGATGACTTGTCTTGACAATGCCACGTTTTCACGGGGTGGAAATAATGTGGTGATATCTTGTGTAAAACTGTTCTGCTTCTCTTGTCCCATGTTAAAAACCTGTATATAGATTTTAAACACAACCGAATGACGACTAGAAGTCCCGTCACCGAATTAAAAGAACCTCCGGAAGCTATTTCTACGAGTGGACTGACTGAAGACAAGCCTCATTCGATCAACTCGTTACACTGGCAGCGCCTGTGCAACATAGGACTCGGGCCATGTCTCATCACTTTCCAAGCACCTATTGCTCACCCGGCATCATAAAAGGCGACTCAGGCCAGCTCTCATTAGGCTCAGGTATATCAACCACGGCGCTATTGGTCCATATATGCTTTCCCTTGTCGAGCTTGAGCCCAATGACTGATCCCCCTTTGATGCTAACGGTCGGTTTCAACGTCCCATCTATGTTGCGGATGCGGTGGAACAGGCGACACCCGCATACGCGACAGAGGTAGCAATCCATCTGCCCACCGCTCTTGGTCGGTCGCGTCCAGATTTGCAACTTTTCTTTGAGCTCATTGGACAGTGGGAAGAGGCCCTCGGCTGGGAAGATGGCGGAAGTGCCGAATGCTGACGATGATTGCCTGCGGCATTGAGAACAGTGGCAGCAGTACACGTCGATGGGCTCGAGGGTCGGCGTCTTGAACGTCACTGTGGCGCATTGACATTCGACGTCCATGATAAATCGACTAGAGTTGACAAAGAAGTTGGCGAGGAGATGGTGAAATTGATTTTTGGTTTGCTACATCGGTGACGTTTGTGTCCTTCAGTTCTCGGCTCGCAAAAAAATGAGGGGAATGAGACGCGCCCCTTTTGGGCTCAGCCATGACAGCGAAAGGGCGCGCCTAATCACCCCAGCAAAGACATGTCGATAAGATGGTTGGCTGATTGCTGAACAAATCAGGTTTCTGCAATTTCGAGACAGGGCACGATACGTAGAAACTCTAGAAGCTCATGAGGAATCAGATGAGACCTCACTTAACAGTGAGCTCTGACCAGAGCGTGAAATAAGAAGATTGAGCCAGCAACTGAATGATGATGAGATGAACCATGTTGATGAGTAAGCGTCTTGAGAGCAAACATCAACCCCTGACAGCTGAGTTCCGCGTCCCCGCAGCACTACAACATTCCTGTCCCAGCGCTGGATTTAGCACGTCACGTTGCTTGAAGCATTCTATTTAGCCGGTAGACGACGCACGGCGGGACCGAATTCTCGTGGCCTGGATTTGGCCTTCCCCAGGTTGCGGATGATCTCCCTTGGCCACCCGCTGCCGGCATGCCGATTCAGCCGCGCAGACGGCATCAACCCAGCTTTAAAGTCTGGCAGTTGACTGGTTATCGTGCGGAGAAGTCCAGAGTTTCCAGTAACAAAGCTGGAAGAGCCGTCATATTGCACCAAACAGCCGTCCCCGTGCCCCCTGACGGACCCCGGCCATTGCAGGCGATCCCGGCGCATCACCAGCTCAATACCCGCAAAATCTCCCTTTGACCGGAACCCTCCGTTCCAGATTAAGCACCGCTGACCTGGAAAAGAGCCTAAATGAGACTGCTCAATCAATGCCATTCTCGCTGTGCCTTCCCCGGCTCACTTAGATTGCTCCATGATCGCACTTAACCCGATGCGAGTCCATCCGACCATCTCGCAACCCCCTTGAGCCCCTCACTGCCGGCCTGCTGCAGTGGTATTCAGCCCCTGGAACAAGCAAGGTTTCCCTGTTGCCGTGAAGCGAACTCCCGAATGGGATCTCGCCCGGCCGAATATCCCACGTTGTCGCTCCGAAAACCCCACAAAGGAACTTCTCCCGTGTGTTCTAATTCTTTGGATCGACGAGATTGGAGTGGTCCAAGTGGGCTGACTGTCGTCTGTTGAAGACTCAATTCGAACAAGCATATATAGGCGAGCTCGAAGCCGGGTCTCTCCTGGGTTCTACTGTTCTTCCCCAAGGCCTGGTGTCTCGATCTTTCGCTTCCGACTACTCTTAACTTCAACATTCGCAATCGCTCACCATGCACTTCCTCGAGTCCGCCGTGACCGCCCTGCTGCTGGCTACCAGCGCCGTGGCCATTCCCATCGAGTCGCCCCTCGACCTGATCAAGCGCGCCCCCAGCGCGGGCGTCGTGATCCAGAAGTGCTCCAAGCCTGGCGTCCTCGCCCTCGCCTACGATGACGGCCCGTACCAGTACACCTCCCAGCTGGTCGACATCCTCAACAACGGCGGCGCCAAGGCCACCTTCTTCATGACAGGCACGCTGTACGGCTGCATCTACAACCAAAAGACCGCCGTCAAGAAGGCCTTCGACTCCGGCCACCAGATCGCCTCGCACACCTGGACGCACCCCTCCAACTTCGGCAGTCTGAGCTCTTCGCAACTTACCACCGAGATGCAGAAGCTCGAGCAAGCCATGGTCAACATCATCGGCAAGAAGCCCGCCTACATGCGCCCACCCTACCTGGCCACCGGTGGCTCCGTCCTCTCGACCATGGGATCTCTCGGTTACAAGGTCATCACGGATGATGTCGACAGCGGCGACTGGAACAACCAGACCCCTGCGCAGAGCGAGGCCAAGTTCACGGCCGCCGGCGCCAGCGGCAACGGACACATCCCTCTCATGCACGAGACCTACGCCACCACGGTACAGACCCTGACGCCCTGGTTGATCAACTGGGCCAAGCAGAACAACCTCAAGCTTGTCACCGTCGGTAAGTGATGAATGCTCAATTGCATCGATGAATGGCACTGACGAGCATTTTAGCCGAGTGCCTTGACGACGCCAGCGGAGCGTACCAGTCCGGTTCCTTCACCGGTAACGGCGCGAGCTCTTGCTAAACACAAGTTCGATTGATGCATCTGACCAGGCCACGAGGGTGGGCTTTAAAATTCTTGGACATACATGATTCCCTGTATATACCGATCTTGAGAAATTGATAGGTCCTGTGGCCTCTCCGATTCCTTTATTACATTGCATTCAACAGTGAAAACAGGTCGCACGCGCGTCAGTCGAGCTGGTGCGCCATAACCTGGCAGAAAAACGCAGCGAAATTGGGAACCACCAATGAACCATATAAGCAATGCATTGTTGGGAGAACTTGAGAATCAGCTTGCGCCTCCTTTCGTTAGTGTTTATTGATTTCTAGACTATAGTACCAACGCGAAGGATTTGACCATCGGGTTTACTGGGGCGCGAACAGGCCCGTAAACCCGACCGGCGCCGGCTTTACACCACAAAGCATCTGCAACGTAGCTCATTTCCGCCCGACTTTTCGGCGTAAGCCAAGACCGGGGCAGATCCGTCCGGCAGGATCGGTAATTATGGGGCTAGTCTCAATGAAGTCCCGCTCATTGTGATTTCCGCAATTCTGAAGCCACGATGCGGCGCCGTACTTAGTTAGATCGAGAGTACCGGCTCGCGGTGCCGCGCAACACATTTCAGATTCCAACTACTTATATGTTTTCAATACTTCCTGTTAGATCTGACCCTGGATTCGAGTATTAGCAACACCAGAAATCTGCCTTTCTCATCATAGAAATCAATTGAACGACTTCGTGCTAGTCATATTTCTCTCAAACAAATATTGTAACCAACATGGCCGGACGCAACCTTAACCAACTCTTTCCACCTAAGCCGACCTTCACAGAAGACGAGTTGCCGAACCAGAATGGCAGGGTAAGCCTTTATGGTCACCGTTGCTTTCCCTCAATTAACATGTCTAGGTCTTCTTCATCACTGGAGGAGTTTCCGGCATTGGCTTGGAACTCTGCAAGATGCTCTATGCCGCCAATGCGACTATCTACATCGCTACAAGATCCGCCTCCAAGATTGGCACAGCCATCAATGAACTCAAATCGCTTTACCCGTCGAGTCAAGGACGTCTCGAGTCGCTAGTGCTCGACCTTTCGGATCTCACAACAATCAAGCTAGCAGCAGACTCTTTTCTCGCCAAGGAAACGAGACTTGATATTCTTGTTCACAATGCAGGCGTCATGATGCCTCCCAAGGACAGCAGGAGCGCCCAAGGCCATGAACTGCAAATGGGTACAAATGCTCTAGGCCCCTTTCTCTTGACCAGATGCTTGCAGGAGAGATTGCGTGCAACCGCTTCAATGCAAGGAATCGCTAAGGGCAGTGTGAGAGTGGTGTGGATCGCCAGCATGATTTCCCTCGGAGCCCCAAAAGGTGGTGTCGTTTGGAATGCTGCGAATGACGCACCAAAGAAATTAAGCGACTCAATGGGTGATTATATGCAAAGTAAAGTGGGTGTTGTATTCTTGGCAAAGGAATTTGCAAACAAGACGGAGAACGATGGTATCATCTCAGTGGTAAGTGGAGGTCGCACCGTTTCGAGCCAGGTCTTGCGACTCACGATACGCAGAGCGTCAACCCAGGTCTCGTAAAGACAGAGCTGCAGAGACATGCACCAGCTGCAATGGGCAAAATAATGGTACGTATCAGAGCACAGGAACATCAAGATTCATTATCTCACGCCGACCTGTTTAGGGCGTCGTTTTCAAGCCGTCAAAATTCGGGGCTTACAGCGAGCTCTTCGCAGCTTGCTCCCCCAAGGTGACGAATGAAAAGAACGGGTCATACATCGTTCCCTGGGGCCGTTTTGGCTGTATCCCAGACGATATTTCTGATGGGTTTCAATCATCCTCAACCAGCGGAAGTTCATTGGCAAGAAAGTTTTGGGACTGGTGTGAGGCCGAAACTGCATGCTATGGTCGTTGAAGAAAGACTAGGTTTGCGCATAATGTCACGGAACTTTCAGCTTTCTGAATGGGTACACCCCTCAAACAAGCATTGTTGTGGAAAGAAATCAAAATTTACATCCGAAGTCTCCGTGGCTGACATTACCTTGTGCCATGGGTGAATGATTTGGACCTAGATAAGAGGCATCCGTTGCTCAAACTTTGAGGCCGACAATGCCGGAACGATAAAGGTTCACATGTTTAAATGCACCCACGAGGTATCGGCTTATCGCTTATGAACGCCGACTAAGAAGCTACCGGTATGCACATGGACGGCCTCCCGCAGAAATAGGCTGTTGACATCACAAGGTTGTCGGTAGGGTGGGTCCAAGTTAGAATTTCTCCCATGGGGGTTATTATTATTGTCCAGCCAGAGCACCCTAATGGGACGGAGGAGTCGACAAAGGACTTTGATATTCCAAGCAAACATTCCATGGGGACTTTCACCTATCTCGTCTTCCATACACGTTCAAACACCATCAAAACTCTTGTCAAAATGGCTCACGGGGAAACGACCAAGAATAAGACCATCGACAGCGCAACAGCGCTTTACTTATTCCATCATGTCTTCCTGCCCTCTCATCTTCCGCAAGAGAGCGACTTTACTCCTGAGAGAGAGATATCGCTGATGCAGATTACACGCGATTCCCTTGGTGAACTCGGTCGACATATGGATGCTGGACATGCAGATTCCATCAAGGCAGCACAAGTCACAATGGACTACATGCTTCGCGCCCATAGCCCACTTCAGGGGACAGTTTCGATCGATGAGCTTCAGCTATGCTCCATTCTTAAAGAGCTTTCAGATTCGGGTATGTTGGCTACGACACTGCGCTCCTCGCTAGTCAGTCGGAAATTAACTCACGGACAGAATCAATCGCTCTTTACGTGAAAGCGCAGAATGCCGGTGCACTCGTCACCAACGCTGGAGATTCGTATCACTTCGAGACTTTTGAATTATCTCCCTCCAACCAAGCTGTAAACACCACCATCGGACGACTTCGAAGGACCTTTCCCGGGAGCGCTGTCAGGGTCGGTCGGGATGAAGTTCTACAATCTGGTTTTCTGGAGACTCTGGCCGCCACGTTGGCGAAAATGGGTACTCAGCCTGCACCAGGGACGCTCCCTAAGGTGAAGAAGGCTGGGCAAATGCATGAGGAGACTCGCGACACAGCCCACCCAAAGATCGTCACAGAACTTCTGAATTCTTTCCTATTGGCTGTTGGACAGCCCCTTGAGCAAGTCAGAATTTGGAAGAACACCAGGGATGAGGTGCTGTGGGAAGACTGTCTTCACCCTTGGCGTCGCTCTCCTATGTGGCTCCTTATTCGCGTCACTCTTCAGCTTCTGTGCCGTCGAGCCTCACAGAGTATCCGCCCTGAAGTCGATCTCTATAAGGTTTTCATGGCCTTCTTCATAGGAGAAGTTCTTCACCAGTCCATCGAAGCAGGTCTCGATTCTGACGTTCTGCACTACATGACGTCCAAACTTGCCAGACGACTCGAAAAGCTGGGCTCGACTGCAAATACAAGCGCTCTCGACATAGTCCGACAACGCATGTGTTGCGCCAATCAGATTCTCATGAAACGATGGACAGCTATACAGCAGCGGAGCTGTCGGAATCTCACAAACGACTTGTCCCAACTGAAAACCTTGGACTTTAATCAGGATACATTGCTGCAGCTACCACAGCTCGACGACTTTCTCTGTTCCATCGAGAAACGGAGAAAGTCGAGTGTTCGGCGCTGCTTCGATCCAAAATGGGAATTGTACAACTGGAGACTGGATGAACTTCCAGACCTGGTCATATCAGGATGCTTCAGTCAAGATAACACATCACATCTCTTGCTCAACCTCACAGCGTTTGAGTTTTGGATCGAGATGAAACTCCAAAACTGGCTAGGACGCCAGCTCGCCTTGGCCTCCTCATCAACCTGTAGACAGCTAAGGAACCTCATGATACAGTATCATGAGAAGGCCAGTGGCTTGTATGAGGGAAATCCGGAGCTGACTTCGACTATGCTGCTCACCATTCTCGAAATTTGGATTGCTTGCGACAAGGCTGCCATCGATGCCCACCCAATGCTCCGGGATTACGACCCTAGGATTCCCATCACTCTATTTCAGAGCTTGTTGTTGACGTCTAGAAAGAACATGCAAAGGCTCTTCGAAGCAGAGGACTACCTCACCAAGCGACTGCAGGGTTGCGATTCCCTAAGGTCAAACTTGAACATTTATACAGCATTCGGGAAGGGTGGATGCTTCTCAGTACGGACGTTTGATATATCTCCCGTACACCAAGAGCTTTTGCGGAAGATCGAGACTTTTGCAACAGAGGAAAGAGACAAAAAGCGTCGAGAGTTTGCCGCAAAAAGCGCAGAATACGAAACCCTTATGAGATATCATCGCGAGTGCAGCTGCAACGAAACGAAGTTGTTCAACGACCAAACGAGACAGCACTATTACCGACACGTTCCCAAAAAATGCACGAAATGTTTGTATAAGGTCAAGGCCGGCGCAATCAAAATTCTTATTCACGAGTGGCCCTTACCATCAAATGCGAATGAAAAGAAATCAACCGTGTTCGAACTTGCTTTACCTCAGGTATTTGGGAATTGGAGGGACGCCAGCATTTTCTTTCTTTGTGATGTTCTCAAAACGAAATATGCCTCGGCACGGACGCCCAAATATTCCTACTTCCTGCAATCCTACGATGGCCTCAGCTCCTTCTGGCAAAGCAATGTTCAATCTCAAAGAGTGCATCTTCTTTCCGAAAATAAACCCAACGCGGTGACACACCGCAAAGAGAAACCGGTGGGCACTTGTTCCGAGAGCGAAATCTTGCTGAACAACGGCTTGCACTACGCATATCTCGATTACACGAGATTCCACTTGATGACTTCATTTGAATTTTCGAACACCATCAATGATGAGTGTACGTACCAGCTTCCCGAAACTGCTTCGCAACTGCAACGTTTTCTCTCTCGAAACTACAAAAGCCCCAATGGCCCTTCTCCGAATACTGTCATTTCCTCACAGCATGAGTGCCCAGACAACATGTCGCTAGACGAGTATAAGGCACTAGCGTCGATCCCTCTCGGATTCAGAATCGTCTGGCAGAATATCTTGGTACAGCTGTTTTCGCCAGCGGTCGATATGAAGAAACGAGAGGTCGGGCTGATGGTTCTTCAATGCATTTACCAGGCGGGGCCTAGTAGTGATTCAGCTTGGAGAAGCACACACGCCATTGTTCAAGATGACCAGTTTTCACGAAGAATGTTGCAAGGCCTTAGAGAATCAACTGAACGATGTGAAAAGAATTGGCAGTCTCTCGGAGCTTTGGCCACATTCGTGTCTCTGGCTTGTCGCACTCTCACTCTCACACAGTCTGAGAGCATTCAAAACGAGTGCTTAGAGTATCTCTCTACCGCGCGCAATATTGCCTTCACCTGGGCCAAAGTTTTGCGAGAGAAGGCTCGGCAAATACTTGACGACGGTAACAAGATCAGGTTCCAGAGAAGGGCAATGGAGTCCTTCTTACTATGCGCAGATACTTTCAACGTTGATGAGGCATTCCAACATCACATACTGTCGCGCGATGAGAATGCTTCGATTTTTCTTCAATCCTCTGTCGGAATTCAGGAGTACTCAGAGTTTCTCCTGCCATCTTTGGAGAAGCCAGTTCAACATCTACACTGTAGATGGCAAAGAACATCCTTCAGCTGTTACCATTACTTAGCCCACGCAACTACCATTCAGGGTAGTAAGGCGTTAGATGACGCAGTTAAAGAATCTTGGGCTAGTTACCAATCCACTGGAACTTGGAAGGTCGTTTCTGACACATACAACTACTGGCTTTCTACCATTACAGAGTCGGGTCAGATGGTGCACTTTTGTCTTTTGACGGGGGAGCTTCTCGTCGATGGTGTTCCTTTAGACCATTTGCCTGGAGAGTATTTGGTTCATCCGACATACCACCGACTTTTCGGCCGATTATCTCTTGATATCGTACCAACCGCTGTTCCCGGCATGGAATTCTCTTCCAAGACAGCTTTTGCTGAGCACAATGTTCACTTACGACTTGATCGCAAAGTTGGGGCTAACGGGCCCGACCTTCTGGTTCATGCCACCCAAGGAGAGAAGAAATTCGATTTGATACCTTTCCGTCATATGCACAGCAACTTACCAACTGCCTTTGTGGAAAACTACTCTCATTGGTACGATCATGAAGATAAATGCATTGAGTTTTGCGATGGCAACACTCCTTGGCTTCACTCGATGTCCAATTGGAAGTTAAGGCAACATCGACTAAATGGAGCTGCCTATTGGAAGCTTTCCAATGAATATTCTTCCCTCATTGGTGTCAACAGCCCGTCTTTTAGACTTATTTCGAGCATTCTTTCTCCCCTGGAAAATGGCTTTTGGATCCATATCACCATTCCAAAACTTGGCTCATCAGTCTCGATTCATCTTCCGCGCCTTGGGCTCGACTTTAATCTACAGCCAGGCGCCACCTCGATAACGTCAAGACAGTATCGGGGCATGTCTATTGACTCTTTTCAGTCCGTCGGGACTCTGATTGGACTCAAAGATCAACTGGTTCTCACTTATCACGATCCTTATCAACCTGCACTATCTCCTGTTCGTAAAGTACTGATCTCGGAGGGCAAAGTGTTGCACGCCGCGACGGAAGGCCACATTCGGGTCTCAATCGAGAAGAACTGCGAAAGAGAGACACACGCCTACGATGTGGATAATCAGTTGGGGAGGCTTGTTAGCAATGGGAGTTGTCAGAGCAAGCTGTTCCTTTGCTATCTCCATGCGCTCACCTCTTTTTGTGTTCCGGATCCGCTCACAGGGCGAACCGGTACTGAAGAGGCGCTAGGAATTTTGAAATCCGCGGCGGTTAGATCCTTTGATGTTTTGAACCAGGAAAACATCGATGTGCTCTGCGAAATTGCACGCCTAACGCCCGGTCGG